TGACAATGATACAAAATAGAAAGAGTAAGAGCCGGAAGAAGGGTAGATATTAATCATTAACGTGGAAACTGGAATTGGCTTCCAGTTAGTGGCTGAAAGATGTGAAGAAATTGAGGCTGGGGTATTAGGTAGGGCGACTAGGCGTATGCACCGAGTGAGCGAAGACACAAGACAGAAAATAGCAAGGAATTCAGCTCGGCTGGAGTGAAGGGTATGTGAAGCAAGGAGAGAAGGTGATGTTCACTGAGTGCTCACTAAGTGCCAGGCACATGTGCTAGCGGAAGGTTTCACATGTTTAAGGTTCAAGAAGAACTAGGGGAAATGAGTTTGGAGACATAATCTGGAGTGTGATCACAGAGGACCTTACAAAGCAAAATACTCGTTCTAAGAAGCAAAGGAGAATTACACACAGGAGTCCAGTTCAGCCCACAACTCATCTTTCCTGGGCCCTCTGTACCATCAGATCAAGCAGCTCTGCTATAGAGAGAGCAGGGGACCATGAGGTGACAGGAGGTGCATTCTTATTTCCAGAAGTCTCGCTGAGGCAACAGGCAAGCCAGGGACCGCTGATAAGGGTAAACTGTAATTTCTCAACGACAGCCCACTCCCACTCCTTCCCATTTCTGTCTCCACAGCTTGGAAAGCTTGAGCCTGCTCCCTGTGAGCCACAAGGTGGAGATGTCTGGCAGGGCAGAACTCAGAGGAAGTCGTTTAGCCAGCCTAAGGTTACCATTAACACTTTGAGCCACTGCCGTGAGCTAATTTTTATGTTTGTTTTTTAAGTTTGGTTGAAATGTCACAAATGGAAAAATTAAGTAAAGCGCCCGGGTTAGCCACAAGACTGGACACACCTGGCTGCAAACCCAGCAAAAGAAACTTACTTCATTAGTAGGAGAGGCAGAGAGTGAAATTTACATCTGAAATCTGCCTACACCAGGAGAAAGTACTGAGGCCAAAGGCGCTGTCTGTTTTTACAGCTGTGTCAAGTCTTAGTTCTCTACTCTTACCAACACTCAGGAGTGCGGCAAGGGCCCAAGGAAAAACGGTCTCCAATCTCTTCAGCTGTAACTCAGCTCACAAAGATTTTTAAGAAGCAGTTAATGAAATAAAACAAGACCAGATGAGGTGATATAATGAACTTTATTTCCACAGCTAATTTATAAGTTTAAATCCCAAATAATGTTTTTTTAAAAAGTCAGAACACTCTAAATTATTGATGTGATTTTTGTAACCTCAAATTTAACACCTGCTTTTTTACCAACTTCACCAGTGATATATGAGTCTGCTCCATTTTTCACAATAGTTGGACTCCAAAAAGTTGGTGAAAAGCAAATTTTTATAAAATAAAAATTTTCCCACCAAATGAGACTGGAATTCTAATTTCAAAGGAGTTCTTGATAGAAATTTATGATTTGTCACTAATTCAAAAGTGGCTCTCTTACTCCTTGATCTTCCACACACCAATCCATTCAAAGCAATAGCCTCTAAGTTTTTGGCATGAGAAAAATCACTACTACTACGATCGGTTTTATAAATTCTATTTTTTATATGAGTTTTCTTATAGAGGTACACCTGGGATGCCAAATAACACAGAGACAGATTTGCAAATTACCACCTTCATAGATTTTCAAGCTGAAAGATGAAAACTTGGGGCTCATGTAGTTAGGCCTCCGCTACCCCCACCTTTCTTTTAATACAGAAACTGAAGCACAAAGGAGGAAAGATTTGCCAATCAGAGTGAGAACCAGGCCAGAATGGCCCTACACTGCCAATTACATCTCCCTAGCCACGTGTCCCATTTATAGGTTGTATACACACGGAAGACTGAGATCCCCTCTCACACACGCACATACACACACATGCACTCACACTCAATCATGCATGCACTCACAACTCACTGGCTAATATACAACTGTCTTGCCTATATAAGGCATGTCTGTTTATGCCATGAGGTTAGAAAGAAGGTATCAAGTTAATTATAGCAGAAAAGCAATAACAGGAACTCCCAAACTCTTCCAAATCTCTATTATTTTAAAATCATTATCCTTTACTTATAGTCTTTGTAACTAAACAGGAATTTGGGCACTTCTCCTCATGAAGGCAATTTAAGAGTCTGTATTGGGGGACCACTTAAACCTTGCTATTGTCCCCTACCCCACCCTGCGTCACTAGCAACATCCACATCACCTGGAAGCTTTTCAGAACTGTAGACTTTCTGGCCCCTGCCCTGAAACTTACTGAATCAGAATCTGTATTTTAACAAGAGCCTCAGGTGAACCGTGGGCACATTAAAGTCTGAGAAACGCTGATCTAAAACACTCCTTTATAGAGCAGCACCCTATCTACAACAATCCAAATAGAAAAAGCGGATGGATAAAATGAGATAAGGGAAAAGTCCCCCTAATTCCTTCAGGGCTGCACTGATAAACACTTGGATCAGAGACCGATAAATGTTAGCTTAAAAAGGATTCCAAAGGCTGGCATTCAATATATTCATTCATTTGGCAATTATTTATTCATTTGACAATTATTCATTCAACGTTTACTGATAAGCAATAAACTGAATAAGACGGTTTTCTGCTTTTATAAAACAGTTAAGTGGAAGGGACCCTGCATAAGAACGTGGGAGAAGGCTCAAGTGTTGACTACTGTGATGAAGCGATATAAGGAGGTCCAGAAGGAAATTCAAATGTGGGGAGAGGCAGCTAAAAGATTCCCGTGGTCCAGGACTCAGCAGCCTATGGCTCACTAAGCTATTCAGGATAGGGACAGCTGTGGCTCATCTGGCTCTAGTGAGCCAGCTTCCAGCAGAGTTTAGTCGACAATGATAAGAAGAACAGGTTCACTAAAGGAAGTGCTGCTGCATAACTGCCTGGCAATCAGCCAGGGCTTTGGCTGACCAGGAGGTATCCCTGGCCATCATTAAATGGGAACGAGATTGCCAACAGCACCGATGTCCTCTCTGCACTGCCGCTGCCCAGTGGGGCGGAAAGTACTTGAGGCATGGGCATGTGGGAACACCCAGCTGGATGAATACCTTAAAGGCTGCTGATGTCACTCTGGGCAGCTGTAAGTTGTGAAATATAAATTTGGTCCTCAACTCCTTTCCTAACAGACAACTCCTAAAATCTTTAGCCTCTCCAAACTGGTGTCTTTTTGTATGCTAATGATTGACTGGTGGCTGGCAGCCCTTAGGTAGCTTCAGGGGGCTGGTCACTGGAAGGATATCAAGAGAGGATTAGAAGGTTAGGACTTTCTGTCCCATCCCCCAACCTCCAAGGAAGGGAGAGGCTGACTGATTTCCAGTGGCCAGTGGTTTAATCAGTTGTGCCTACATAATGAAGCTTCCATAAAATCCCCAAAATGACTGGATTTGGAGCACTTCCAGACAGCTGAACAGGTGGAGGTTCCTGGATAGCTAGCTGTACACTAAGAAAGGCATGGAATCTCCTCACCCCTCCCACATCTTGTCCTATGCATCTCTTCATCTATATCCTTTGTAATATCTTTTAAACTAAACCGCTAATGAATAAGTTTCCCTCAATTCTGTGAGCCACTCCAGCAAATTAACTGAACCCAAGGAGAGGGTGGGGAACCCCCAATTTATAATCAGTTGGCCAGAAGCACAGGTAAAACAGTGTGGAGCTTGCAATTGGTGTGGGGAGTTGGGGGCAGTCTTGTGGGCAGAGTCCTCAACCTGTGGGATCTGATACTATCTCTAGGTACACAATGTTGGAATTGAACTGAGTTAGAGGACACCCAGCTGGTGACCCCTCTGAAGAATTGACTGCCTGTGTGCTTTGTGAGAAGAAACTCCCACAAATATGTCACAGAAGCCTTCTGTGTAATTGTAATTGATGGAGAGAACAGAAAAAAATACTTTTTTCCCCTATATTACACAGCAGCTAAGACAGCAAGAAAGCATAAGAGTGAGAAAAATGAAAAAGGAACCAAAGAGGATGATTACAAAGATATTCATCAACTCAAAAATGGTAACTTTTCTCCTTCCTTGAAGGAAAACATAAAAAATAAAGGTTACTTCTGGGGAGTTAGACCAGGGTGCAGGGGGCGGTGGTGCAGGACAGATGGGACACTTGTTTTTTACACTCTTACTGTTTGATTTCTATTCTATGAGCATATGTAACTTTTATAATATGTCTATAAACTTTGTTTACTTGTCAGTCCACAGGGAGAACTTTGCCCTGTAATGAAAGAAACCAAATTAACCCATTTCATGACCCAGTCATGGTTCTACTTTGAATGCTCCCAAGCTAGGAGGCAATGAAATGAGAATTAACAGGGAACTACAAGCTACTAAAACATGATCTACGGGCTGCTAAAATACACAATAGAAACAAAGGAAGATACTATGATCTGTATAACCAAACATATTCTAGTGTTTTGGTTTCATTTCTCTATTGTCATCAGATTCCATTTGACACACACACACACACACACACACACACACACACACACACACTATATATTCCCCTTTCTCAGGTTAATCATTAAATGTACCAATGTACATTTTCAGTAGGTATCTTACCAGACTCTTCTAGGCTGCTAGCGATCAAGGAGCTTGATTTCAGTTCGTGAGGACAGCGCAGGCCCCTTACCAGGGCCTTCCATCAGAACGAATTTACAGGACTGTTTCAAATATTGCACTGGTGTCAAAAGTATAATATCCTGAACTGGATTATCATTTGATTCCCCCCATTCACCAAATCCATCCCTCCTATCACCATGATTTGGGCTTTAAAATCCCATCTCCATACAAGATGACTTCACACTAGCAAATCACAATAATGTGTACACATAAAGTATCTGGGGAGTATTTTCTCCACAGAGGCAGAAAAAGTGACTTTAGCTGAACTGCCACTTGATATCAGGCAGCATTTCACGGAAATCTAAAAGCAAGCCCATTTTAGAACAGATAAAATTCCAAACTCAAACCCTTCACTGGAATTGTCCAGGACCAGAATCTAACAGCATTCACTTACCCCCATGACTCTGCCACGCTGCTGAACATCCTCCCACATAAAATGAACTATGATACGACACATGTACTTCCCACTCCGGCCTTCCTGCTTCATTCGGACTAGACACATCCTGGGTGGGAAGAAGACAAAAAGAGTCACTGGCTGTTTGCCTTTTTCATATCACACATTTCCACTGAAGTTCTCCTCATGAAAGAGTAAGTTTAGCAAAGGGCACCAAATCAAACTGGAAGTGAACTTATTTTAAAAAAGAACAACAACAAAAAAAACTTTCACTGAGATATAACAAAGATACTATTAAGTGCATAAATCTTAAGTGTACAGTCTGATGAATTTTTACATATTATACATATACCCACACAAGCACCACTCAGATCAAGACACAGATTATTTAGGGCACCCCTAAAGGCTCCCTCATACCTGGAGGGAACCACATTTTGTTGTTAGAAGATAAACAAGTCTGAATCCTTCATTTTACTGATGAAAGCAGGAGTCCTAAAGAAGAAAAGTAATTTGCCCAACACCAGAATCTGTAAAACTGGGTATACAACTGTGCCGCCCAATACAGTGGCTCCCTGTGGCTATTGAGCACATTAAATATGGCTCTAGTCAAAGCTGAGATGTGGCACAAATATAAGATTTCAAAGATTAAGTTCAAGAAAGAGAATATAAAATATCTCATTCATTTTTAATACTGCTTTCACATTGAAATAATATTTCAGATATACTGGCTTACATAAAACCTATTATTAAAATTAATTTGTTACTTTTTACTTTTTCAAATGTAGATACTGGAAAATTTTAAATTACACACATGGCTTGTGTTATATTTCTGTTGGATAACACTTGTCCAGAACACAGATCACAGAAAGTAATTGTCAAATTGTTTCTCCCACTACAACGTAAGCTCCAGTGAAGATAAAGATCAAGTCTGGTTTCTGTCAACATTTTATTTGCAGGGCTTAAGTACAGTAGGCACTCAATATACACTTGCTGAATAAATAAATGAATAAACACCACAGGGCCAAGTTTAGGACCCTAGACCATATTGCCTTTAGTCAGGTCAAAGGGCTTTCTGCTCAAGACCTCACATAATCTAAACGTATAAGAATTATATTTTATTATATATAAGAATATAAGCAGCATCCCTAACTTTTTATAATTGTTTCTAATCTCATGACCATTATTCATTCTTTTTTGTTTGTTTTCTCCTTTTTGAGACAGGGTCTCATTCTGTCACCCAGGCTGGAGTGCAGTGGCACAAGCACAGCTCACTGTAGCCTCAACCTCCTGGGCTTAAAGGAGCCTCCTGCCTCAGCTTCCTGTGTAGCTGGGATCACAGGTGTGCACCAACAAGCCCAGCTAATTTTTTATTTCTTTGTAAAGACAGAGTCTCACTTTGTTGCCCAGGCAGGTCTCAAAGTCCTGGGCTCAAGACTTCCTCCCACTTCAGCCTCTCAAAGTGCTGGGATTACAGGTGTGAGCCACTGTGACTGGAACACCATACTTATTTTTACTGTCTTTCATTAAATAGCTTAGTAAGCAGCTACAATAGGATTACTCACCTAAAAGACAATGCCTGTCATAATTATGAAACAGTTGATTCAACCTGACAATTCTACCTCCATACATAATTGATCTTGCCAATTAAAATCCACCAGCAATGGTACAATGAAATGATTACAGCTTGGCCTGTTTCAACATCTCTGTTAATAACTAAGATGGAGAAAATAAAACATATTTATCAAATTTGCAGCTGACAAGAAGCTGGGCAGGAGAACAAATGTGCTAGATGACCCAAACATGAACCAAAAATACTTCAACAGATTGAATCTAACAAGATCAACTTAGCAGGGATAAATTCAGGATCCTGTATCTGGGTCTAAAAGAACAACTGTAAAAGTACAACACAGATGAGTCACGTACCTATGTGTGAAAAGCCTTACATGCTTAAGTTGACATTATATGCTCAGTAGGAATCAAGAGGATAACAATGTTGCCCTCCAAATTAATGTGATTTTAGATACATGCAAATATAGTATCGTCCATGTGTAAAGTGAGACTTTTGTTCTACTCAGCACAAACCAGAACCTATTTGGAATACTATCCACAGTTTTGAACATTATTTTTTTAATTTTTTTATTTTTTCCTTTCAGTGTTATCAAATGAACATTATATTTTAAGAGATAGGAGGACCAGATGTATCTTAAGAAGACCAAAAGATATTTAACCTGGAAAAAAGAGGAAAGTTGCCTTAGACATTGTAGAAAAGTGATTAAACTGTTTACCAAAGAGAATCAGGCCAGGCCTAGTAGCTCACACCTATAATCCGGCATTTGGGAGGCCAAGGCAGGAAGATCACTTGAGCCCAGATGTTTGAGACCAACACAGTGGGACCCCCATCTCTATAAAAAATATATAAAAATTAGTCAGGTGTCATGACGTGTACCTGTAGTCCCAGCTACTCAGGAGGCTGAGGCAAGAGGATCCCTGGAGGACAAAAGGTCAAGGCTGCAGTGAGCCATGATGGTACCACTGAACTCCAGCCTGGGCTATGGAGTGAGACCCTGTCTCAACAAACAAACAAAACCTAAGAGTCAGAATCAGAACCAATGGGCAGGCCTTAGAGGGAGAAAGATTTACTCGTCATTGAACAGCAAAATCAAAAGCTTACTAACAGGAATGCCTAAGGTTTTGTTTTGTTTTGTTTTTTAATTTTAGAGACACGGTCCTGCTCTGTCACCCAGGCTGGAGTGCAGCGGCACAATCATAGCCCACTGTAACTTCAAACTCTTGGTCTCAAGCCATCCTTCCACCTCAGCTTCCCAAAGCCCTGAGATTATAGGCATGAGCCACTGTACCTGACCTGAGTGTCTGAAGATTTGATTAATGAAACTGACAACCTCAAAAAGTAAGGAATTTGCCTGTCACTAAGAGGTGAATCAATACTTGGTGGGAACTTAGGTATGTGACAAAAGGTTGACTACATGGCCAGGTGCAGTTGTTCACACCTGTAATCCCAGCAATTTGGGAGGCCCAGGTGGGCAGATCAACTGCAGTCAGGAGTTCGAGACCAGCCTGGCCAACGTGGTGAAACTCTGTCTCTACCAAAAATACAAAAATTAGCTGGGCATGGTTGCCTGCGCCTGTAATCCCAGCTACTCCAGAGGCTGAGGCAGGAGAATCTCTTGAACTCGGGAGGCAGAAGTTGCGGTGAGCCAAGATCGCGACATTGTACTCCAGCCTGAGCAACAGAGCAAGACTCCATCTCAAAAGAAAAAAAGAAGGCTGACTTCATGACCCCTAATGAGATTTGTTGATATGACTCAAAATCTGTAGGCAAGGTGTAGTGGCTTACACCTGTAATTCCAGCACTTTGGGAGGCTAAGGTGGGTGGATCACCTGAGGTCAGGAGTTCAAGATCAGCCTGGCCAATACGGTGAAACCCCATCTCTCCCAAAAATTCAAAAAATTATCTGGGAGTGGTGGTACACACCTATAGTCCTAGCTACTGGGGAGGCTTAAACAGGAGAATTGCTTGAACCCAAGAGGCAGAGGTTGCAGTGAGCCGAGATTGAGCCATTCACTGCACTTCAGCCTGGGCAACACAGCAAAACTCTGTCTCAAAAAAAAAAAAAAAAACCAACCGTGTAACCTCTGACCCCAGCTAGCATTTAAGAAATAGCACTTTGTAGGCTGGGCATGGTGGCTTACACCTGTTAATTCCAGCACTTTGGGAGGCTGAGGTGGGTGGATCACTTGAGGTCAGGAGATCAAGATCAGCCTGGCCAACATGGTGAAACCCCATTTCTACTAAAAATATTAAAGTTAGCCAGGTATGATGACACACACCTGTAATCCCAGCTATACGGGACACTGAGGCAGAAGAATCACTTGAACCCGGGAGGCAGAGGTTGCAGTGAGGCCAAGATTGTGCCACTGTACTCCAGCCTGGGCAACAAGGCAAGACTCTGTCTCCAAAAAAAAAAAAAAAAACACAGCACTTTGTGACAATAATGAAACAGGTCACAGAAAAAGATACGGCTACTTTACAGGACATAGAGCATATTCTAAGGCAGAAACAATTTGGGGAAAAGTTCAACAGTCCTTTTTCATAAGACTTTTCTAAAAGTTAATCAAATCTGTTATGTCAGCCTCTCACCTGAAAAGACGCTGTGTTTTGATGCTTAAGTGTTGTCAGAGGCCAATTCATCAACAGCAATAGTGAGGTAATGGAATTCTTCATTTATTTGAAAATTCTGTAGTTTATTCATACACCTGCCCTCTGAGGTTTAAAAGGCACAGATTTTCTCAGACCATAAACTTTCTAACGGTACTGACACGGGATGAAGTGTTTTTTGTTTCACAGCACAGGTTGTTCTACAGCCCTTACAGATAACAGTGGGCTCAAATGGTTATTCAGTTGAAAAGATACGGCGAAATGAAGACACTTTCAAAATGGTGACTGACAATTTTCACTCAATGAACATAGGAGTTCCTATTGTGTGAAGGCGTACAGCTGGATGCTGTGGGGATTAGATGGCTAAAACTAGAACCCAGCTTTTAAGGAGTAGTTTCCTCTAGGGGAGATAAGATATGCTAGGCCGGGCGCGGTGGCTCAAGCCTGCAATCCCAGCACTTTGGGAGGCCGAGGAGGGTGGATCACGAGGTCCGCAGATAGAGACCATCCTGGTCAACATGGTGAAACCCCGTCTCTACTAAAAATTACAAAAAAAATTAGCTGGGCACGGTGGCGCGTGCCTGTAATCCCAGCTACTCAGGAAGCTGAGGCAGGAGAATTGCCTGAACCCAGGGGGTGGAGGTTGCGGTGAGCCGAGATCGCGCCATTGCACTCCAGCCTGGGTAACAAGAGCAAAACTCCATCTCAAAAAAAAAAAAGAAGATATGCTACACATAAACAGCCCTAAAACCACCAAAACTCATCCTCTCAAGCTCCATTGCACTCTCCTCTTGGGAGAGGATGAGTTTTGGTTGAGTAGAATCACAGAAAGCTTCATGGAAAATGAAACACTATACCTGGATCTTGGAAGAATAAGCTGAAGTTGAACAGGTGGAGACAAAAAACAAAGGGAATGTCCAACTGATGGAATG